TCCCACCGCACATCACACCACAGCAGTGTTAGGCTGTTAGTTTAAGGAAAACACTCTTCACCAAATAAACTGGAGTGTCTCCTGTGCCTGGTGAAACCCAATATAGAATGAGAATATAATCACAGATAACTTTATGCAGTTATATAGCTGAAGGCTCTGCCTGAAAGCTGAGTTCAGCTTACAACAGAGCAAAAGTGAGAAGCGAAGCTGTTTGTGGCCCCTACTGACTTCTCCCGGGACCGTAACCCTTCCAACAGGATCAAAAAGCGTAGGTATTGTCAATCAGTCTGTGCTTCTTTCCTCCAAGTGACATCGCCCTTGGTGGCCTAGCTCCAGAGGGCCTCCTCAGTGGCTAATGTCTTCCTGAAAAGAAGAGAAGCGACCTGTCCATCTCCTTCCACGCAGGCAGAGTAAATGTTGGTTTATCCGCTGTATTCTGGATCTAGTCATGCTGAAAGTTTTTTAAAAAATTATTTTTCATATGTTTCTGTGTTGCTCAGCAATAACAAGTCTGCATTTCTTTTTAGAGAAGGATTTCTTATTAACAATTGTATATGCCTAGTTCCAAGTATATGGAAAAAACCCCATTTTTTTCTGACTCATGACAAAACCAAAGGGTAAGCTATCTAAAGTATCGAAACAGGAGTTCCTTCATAGAATATAATAAAATAACAGGGAGGAGAGGGGAGATAGCCTGCATTAATACCTTCAAACAAAAGTTTATCCTCAGAATCAGAATCAAGACCTTTTACCTAAACAAGAAAGCAACTGAGTCTCAATAATACCTTGTATTTACAGAATATGTTCCTAAGATACTTAACATGCCATATCACACTATGTTATATCATCTTAGAGGCAGGTAGTCACAATTAGGATATCATTCATGTGAAATGATGGAGGAATAGCCATTCAGCACCTGGTACATAGACACTGCTTTTACTCTAGAAATAACACTGCACAACAGCACAGCTTTTCAACATGGACGTATAGAAATTCACCATTTCAAGAGATGTAGCTACTAAACCATATGAATCATCAGGACAAAGCCAGAAAACAAGTTACTCCCACTTTATAACCAGACACCAATGAGAAATAATAAGGTGAGAAAAAAGTTTGCAATATTTAGAACCTTAAATACATTTTCTCAACAAAAAATTCCAAATCAGAGCAAGGAAAACTTGATTAGGAAGGGAAATTTCAACCACACTATTAAACCATTGGGTTATTTTTAAAGGTTTGGTTACGTTAGGGGCAGTAGATTATTGTTTACTTTTTATAGAAAAGTGCTTTTCCTTAACTCCAATGATACTGGCATGAAGAGAGCTATCAATCAGGGTGACTGCCCCCTCTGGCTGCAGAATAGGGTTTATGAACTGCTCAGCTAACCACGGTGCCCACACCTCGGGCACTATGGGTCCAAACACAGGCACGGCTCCTCTGGTGTCATTCCCTGGCGTCTTCTAGAGGGTGAAGCATGTTTGCTCCTTCTGGGTTGTAAGAATGTAAGCCATGGCTATGACCAATGGCCAAGGGTCCACCTTTGAAAGGAACAGCCTGGCTTGGAAGTTAAGCTAAACTACAGAGGAGACGAGGGAGGGGAGAGAGAGGAAGAGAGAAAAGAAAAGAAGAGGAGGAGTGAGGACATCAAAAAAAGAGAGGTAGTGAGAAAGAAAGGTGGAAACATGGCTGACGAACCTAACGACTGCAGTTAGAACCTGTGTTCAGGCAAGTTCCATCCTGCCCTTGTGTGGTTTGACTGTCTAAACGAAGAAAGTCTTTCTGCTTAAGCGGTGTAGAGTAGGGTTTTTATTACCATTGTACATAACGATAATTTAACGATAATTAAGTGATAATTTAGTACAATGATAATTTAATGATAAACTGAAGTTACTCAGAAAAAACTTGCATTCACTCTTTAGTAATCTAAGTTCTAGTTTCCATGTCTGTGTCAAATACAATGATGTAACAAGTCAAATCAGCAAATATTTATGGAGATACCAGGAAGGGAAGGACACTGTGGCTTCGTACAGCAAAGACTACACCAGAAGTGAAGACATTGGGAAACAAAGATCAATGCAAACATCAAAAATTAAGCTATGGTATCAAATAAAAACAGACATCTCATTAGGCAAAATAGGATTAACTATCAAACAAAATTTTCAGATAGTAAGTATTGCAGGAATAGAGGAGGAAACACGCACATTTGGTAGCAACATTCCTTACCTCTACAGAGTCCAGCAGAAGTAAGGCCTGCTTGAGTGTGGTTGATAGGGCAACAATATGGGTGTAATAATTTATAGCTTTAATTTGAACATTCCACCTAAAATGTCCTATGGTGTGCTTGAGCGCGATAGGGTTATGTTACAGAATTACATGCTTAAGATTTTATAATAAAAGATTTTACAATAAAAAAAGCAGCGTTATTTGTCCCAGACCCTGTTTATCTCTGCTTAAGGTTCTGCTCACACAGGGAGGATCCCCGAGGTTTAACCCCCTTCACGGACCATGCTCTTCACTGACCACACCCATGCTTTCTACAACTGTCTCAGGGCTTCCATCACGCCCCTCCTTCCATTTAACTGCAGGAAATATGACACAACGCTTGCGCTGAGGCAAGGCCAGCTCCATGGTGCCCGTCTGTGTAAGCACACAGGGCTTTACATATGGTTTAATGATTCGCCATCTTGGAATTAACAATTTTTGAACAAGGGGCACAGCATCTCTGCTTCCTGGAAACTGCGTGGCTGATCCTGTGCTAAGGCGAGGGATAATGTTTTCCTACAAACAATTCAGACCAGCTGTCTTGCTTTTTAAAGCAGCCTATTTGCCAAGAGATGTGATATATTTCAGAAGTCAAAGGGCAAAGAGAAGCACACTCGCACCTTCTGTGTGTTCCTCCTTAGCCCTTTATTAAAATGAAATGATTTAGAAAAATGACAAGTCTGCAGTGGAGAGCACTTGGAATCTGTCAACACACGGCACTGCCAAAATGGAAGGCAAGCCACCAAGTGTGACTCAAAAGGCCCGTAGTATATTTTATTTCTAGGACATGACAGCACAGGATGAAGTACAAAGAAAGGGGGGGGGGGGTCCTGATTTTATGAGATACTTAGAGAGTGAAGAAAAGCAAGTTCTGGTCATGTCAAATGCCTAAAATGTAAATACAAGATTGTTGTTGATAGTGTTATGTAGAAACGCAACTCTGTCCCATGGGGACTGTGCATGTGAACTAGTCAATTTCAACATTTCCTCCAAGATGGCATCTCAGCAGCTATGTACTGGTGTTTGCAGTACAAGAGATTAGAGTGTCTACCTATGTTCTTGTCCCAGGACCCACGGAGTCACCACCACGGGACGCCAGTCTTCTGTGCAATTCACTTAGTTGGCCAGAATGGTTGCTCCTGAACAACAGCTTCCTTAGTCTTCCCTCGTTGCTGCCTAATTCTCGCCACTTGCACCCTCATTAGACTCTCCTCCCAGGTATCATGCAAATGACTGTGGAAGGTGAAATACTAGTCTTTCAGCTTTGTGCCTTGGTGTGACTGAGTTTCAGGCCCTTTTCCGGGAGGACAAGTTTAGATTAGACAGGAAAAGAGGCTTGTGGGACTCCAGTAAGTTTCACGAATGGAAGTTGTACATGATGTGCTGAGATTAAAAAAAACAAGTTCTTTTTTACAATTTTCTAAACTGAGCAAGCCTTGCTTGGCAAAAAATTGATAACATACAGCTAAGTCTGAAGTAAATGAACAAAAATTTAAGTGTACTTATTTTTAAGCCATTCTCCTATCTCACCTGCCTGGACTGACTTTTGACTAAAACTATCTTTTAGGTTAACCGCTACGATGCATTTTCAAGTAGAATAAGCTCATTATCTTCGGAGAGGATGTTTCAAACGTTTTCCTCCTTTTCATACTGCTCTGTTTTTCCATCTACATTCACCGAGGCAATTTCTTCTATGATAAATTGATGGAATCTGAGTATGTCTATGAGTCAGCACAAGCCAGGCACTGTGTGCACGGTCCCTAGATCGTAGCAATTAATTCCACCTTATTGAAGGATGTATCAGAATCTACTTACAAATGCAAACTGGGTGGGCGATCCCGGTTTTGTATGCAAGCAAGACCAAAATGAAGATAATAAGCAGAAAATTGCGGAATGCGGTGGTGTGGTGAGCAAAGTCCCTAAGGATGTAAGTTTTCTAAAAATCTAAAGCGAAGTCATTGTCAGTGCAAAGATGTTGGAAAGTATACTAAGTGGTTTCAATATTAGTGTTTGGTTTACAGCGTAGATTATGTTTCCACTTCATTCTCCTACTTGAACTAGCTATTTGGGGATGTTGTCCTGGGAGGGCGAGCTTTCTTCCTGAATTAACATTTAATATGCCTCTATGGAATCACATAATTATAGTGACAGAGACTTCAGTTCAGTGCTTAGGAGGAGAAATTTCCCTCATTCCTGAAAAGATTTGCTTTAGGAAATGCGATATAATTCTACAAGAATCTTGAAAGCTCTTTTAAAAAACATATAGATCATCTGTTTCCTGGTGACATCTGGAAGAAATTTTGATCCAAACAGTGACATTTTGACAATATCCCGTGAACTGAGCAAAAACAAAATGGAACTGATTCTTCTTACCTTTATAGTCTTTGCTGTTGGTCTTTGGAGGGGGGAGGTGAGTGGGTTTATCACCTCCAGGGGGCTGTTCCATGCCTGTTACATGGTCTGCTTTTGTGCTGTCTCCTCGCCATAGAGGTTGTTTTACCAGACAGGGTCCTCGCAAACCATCACCTCCTCATTCTCCACAGCGTCACAGCCTCGATGTTGATTCTTTCACCCAAACTCCTAGTTTTGCCAAATCTCAGCACCCTCTTAGCCCTGACCCCGGAGGTCAAGGCCCGTCTAATTGTTCACTCAGACCATAGAAGCTGGCAACGTGCGTGGTGTCACACCTAATAAAACACCAGTTTCAAAATGCCATCGTACAAATGCAAAAAGCCTACCTCTCTTGTAGAATGAGTTTGTTCTCTTTCTTCCAAAAGTCTTTAAAGTCAGAGCTGAATTCATGCCAGATACTGAAAAAAACATTTGGGGACACCTCCTTCTCTCCAATTTTTGGTTTCATGAAGAAATAGGCTGTGGTTTCCAAAAAGCTGTCAAAGGGTACACACACAGAGCATAAAAGTGATGATTACTTTCCAATATGGGATATTCCTTCTCCATCCAAACACTGATTTCATTCATGCACCGTTATGATTACCGAGAGGACACAGATTCTTCAGGCACCAACGGTAGGCAGTTCTCTGATGGTTTCATGTTAGAGTTTGGATACAGGTAGCAACAGACAAAACCCTCCGCATGCTGAGAACTCTCCGTGGTCCAATTCTATTTTCAAAATCAATCACTGTGTGTCCAGCATATTTCAGAAATGAGCCTGTAGTCAAGTTGAGACATACTGGGAACGGAGGGTCTATACTTTCTACACTCTAAAAAAAATTAAAAATACCAGCCATTTGCTACCAAACTAATGTATGTATTATATATTATATGTCTTATATGCTATTTGGCTTCCTGTTTTGCTACAGGAAAAAGCAAAAGTCCTAAGAGATGCTAACAAAGTCTCCCAGCGGTGAATGGGCACGATGTGGCAGCAGACTGTGACAGCAGATCGATGGTCTCCACAAGATGCCACTCAGAGGCTACCTCATATTACAGCTACATTAAGCTCAGAAGAGTTTCAAAAGGGTATTTGACAAAGAACATACAAGGGGTAAATGATAAGTTTACAACTTAACGAAAGTCTTCTATCCCCATGAACAATGCCTCGAAAAGGACCTAGGCTGATAAAGCTGACAATGTCATGGTGAATGAAGCTGCAAAGCGTGTGGCCAGAGTCACTGCAAAAAGAAGTGGTGGTCCAGTGACCCCTGTCCCCATCTCCCTTCCTTCCCTGCTTTGCCCTATGGCCAGCGCTCTTTCTGCCACACAAAACTCGAGTCCGATTTAACCTGAAGTAAAAATGTCTAAGGCGATTTGGTTTTGCCATATTGTGCTGTTTGTTTAAAGTGTGGGCACACATACATAGATGGACACATATCCGTGCACACATTCAGCTTCTCATGTGGCTGATTTCAAATCCCTACTATGCAAAAGTATGTCATTGACTTGGGCCTTAAAAAATGTCATGTGTAGCTCCAGCCAGGTAGCTCAGTTGGTTGGAGCATCATCCCGCAGACTGAAAGACTGTGCGTTTGATTCGGAGCACATACCCAGGTTGTGGGTTCGGTCTTGGGGTGTGTACAAGAAGGCAGCCAATTGATGTTTCTCTCTCTCTCCCCCCGCCACCCTCTCTTTCTAAGGCAATGAAGAAATATCCTCAGGTGAGATTAAAAATAAATTAATTTATTTTAAAAAATGAGATGTGTAGGATGATTTGCTCAGAAGGTAAAGGAGACGGAGTATCACACACAAAATCAAAATTTCCCAGCCACCCTGATTGTGGGTCACCCCGTGTGGCTGGTCTGCTCTGTCTTTTTTACTCTTGCCTTGTGGCTGTCCTGAAGCAGCAAGAAGGCCAGGGAAAACACCTTTTAGATTCTGGGGACAGATGACAGTACTGATTTGATCAAATGTGTGCCTTGCGGCAATTATTTCTTTCTTTCTAGTTTGCCTAGTAGGAAAATGACACAGTAGAATCATTTAATCCCGAGAAAGGGTCAGGCTGTAAAGTGGGCATGGTATGTGAGAATCTGGCTGCCACGAGCTATGGGAATGACATTAGAATGTGTCCCCAGAATGTGTTGATGACATGAAGGCTGCCAGGAGAGCAGACGGCAGGCAGCATAAATAGTTGGACACATATCTGGGTCATATTTTATGAAAACTGATAAAGCACACACACCTCCCTCCTGGGAAACCCAATCTTTTTCCTTATATGCCCAAAGACTATTTATGACCCATATGGCTGAAATTAGGTCTGATATTCTTTGGCTCTCCATTTAGTCTTTTTCGTCATTTCTCTAGTAATTATGCTTTATAAAATTGATTATTACAAACCAGGCCAGGCCACGTGGGCAGTTCTCTAAACTGTAAAAGCTGGTTCATGCAGCCATCTTAAAACATTCTGAAAGTTCCATCATAAGGTAGCAGGTGTAAAGGAAGGATACAGGACTAAGAATGAGAAGACATAGAATAGTGAATCCCGACTCTGACCAGCTATACGAGCAAACCATTAAACATCACTGTGACTCAGCTTTTTCATCCGTATACCAGAGTATCATAAACAATTGTTTTGAAGTTTAATGGAAAAATAAATAAATTTCCACAGTGTTTGTTGACTGTTTTAACATATGGTAAATTTATTTAACATTGCATATTACTTTATACTACATATACTACATATTACACATTCAAAATATAAATATTTATTCCCTAAAATTTTTCTCTAAATTGTAACTAACATAACTGCGGCTAATTTATTAACAGATACACAGGTGATCATGTTTCCTACAGACATTTTTGAGTTAGTGGCATGCAGAGAGGGTTCTGATGGTGGTAATAATTACTCTAATTATTTAATAATTTCCTCTTGGCTTTTGTAATAAATTTCCCACATCATTTTAAGAAGGTAACAACTTTTGAGCTCCAGTCTCTTCGTCTGTAAAATGGAAGCTATGCTTGCTCTTTGAAGGTTGTTATGAAGATGAGATGCAAAGTACCTTGCCAGTTATGAACTGCGATGTAAAATAGCAATGTATATATTAACTTTATAAGATGCAAACATTTTTTCATTTAAAATGATACCTGTGGAAAAACTTGATGAATTTTTGAGACAAACGGGTCAGTGTGTAAAACTGGCTGACAGCGTGACTCTCACGGAAGAGAACCTATGTCTGTGGCCATTTCTTTGGAAAGGACCGTGGTAAAAGAATAAGTGTCACCCAAGAGTGCAACCGGAGAGTAAAGGATCTCTGAGGGACACTGTCCCCGCTGTGTTCAGCCACCCCATCGTCAGAAGAAAGTCTAAGCACTTTTCAGAAACAACCAATCAAATAAGAGGGCCGTAATTTGTACATGTTATCGAGGTTCCTTGAATTCCAGACGCCTTTTCAGCTCTACAATCCTGTCCTCCGTTAGTTGGTGTTCAGCTAATTCATTAATGTGACGAAAGATACCCACTTAGGTGATTGAGGGTAGGGAGAGGCCCCGTCCTTTCTGAATTACCCCCTTCTAGTAAATCTGAAGCCCAGAAGAGCCCATCCACCATATAGCAAAGTGGGATCACTGAAAAGAACAGATGTCTTATCGGGATCTTCCTCGCTACACAGGCTCTCCTGTGAGTCTCTCTTGAATTAAGCCTGGGACACTGAGAGCCAGTAGCGAACAGAGCTGCAGTTATAACCCTGAGAAAATGCAGAAGTCACAGTAAGAGACAACTCCAGAGAACCCTCTAATCTGCTGCTCAAATGCCCCTTTGTGTAAAAGATCAGTATCACACTTTTTCCACTACGAACGTTAAACAACACAAACATGCTGCTCACAATGCCAGCAAGAGAAGCCACAGAGTTCTGAAAACATGGCTTCAGCCACAGAACTGTGTGGGATTTCCCTGAATCCCCGGCCATAAAGAGAGCAACTAAGATACTAAAACCAGAGCTCGTGGAAAAATATCCACAAAAACACTGTGTCCAATATCCTCACAAACCTCAAAATGCAAGCAGGTGGCACAAACCACAGAGAGGGCAAAAACCCATGGGTAACGTCATTGGCCCGGGGGGAGGCAACAGGGGACTCAGAGAACCCAGCTGTTCGTGTGAGCTATGCCTGAGTTGCGTGGTGAGGGCACTGTGTGAAATGCAGATGGTGTCTACAGAGTTGTGCACTTGAAATCTGCATGATTTTATGAACCAGTGCCACCCCAATAATTTCAATAACAAATAGAAAAGGAAAAGCAAAGAGAGAAAAAGTAGAGAACAGGAAAGAAGACACAAACAAGGAATGAGAAGGAAGAAAGATCAAGTCCTAAACAAAATTATTACAAAAAACAAACAAACAAAGCAACACAATGGATCTACAGACCAAGGAGAACATGCCAGAGAGATATATCGATGAAATAGATGGAAACTGTTGGCTAATATTTAAAACATGCTAAAAGAAGTTAACGAAATGATAGAGGCTGTAATGAAACATAATTTGAAATCAGAAAAACTCAGAAACTAAATAACAAGATTTAATAAAGAACATAAAATTTAAAATACTTCACACATGAAGACCAAACTGAGTAGCAGAAGAGCTAATATGACCAACAAAATTTCTTAACAGAAATAGAAGATAAAATGAAAGAAACCTTTAAAGATCAAAGAGAAATTACAAAAAAAAGTGAGAGAAAGTTCCAAATACATGACACAAGAAATTCCATGTGTATTATACAAGCCCCTACAAAAAACAACCAAAGCAATGAAATAGAATACACTTAATAATATGATTCAAGAATATTTTTCTGAAAAAAAAAAATTGAAACTACATGTTGAATGTGTGTGCCAGTAATCAAAACTGAAACATATTCTAGTAAAACTACTGTATTTAAAAATAATAAGGAAAAAATTTGTTCATTGTGCAAAAAAAAGTCATTATAAAGAAAAAAATCTTACTATGAAACATTTAGACAATACCCTATGTTGGAGGACAGTACAATAACATATTTAAGATACTAAAACCACAAGTGTGAGCTGAATATTGTTAGCCAAGAAAACTGACTTTGGAGTGTGAAGGACACAGGAAAACTGTCTTCAGTATGAAATAATTCAAGGAACATCGTTCTAATGATCAATTATTGAGAATTTACTACAGAATGAGGTTCAGAAAATGAAGATGGCAGAAAAGACATTGATATATGGATTAGCAGATCAGAATTCTTAACGTGGAAAAGGACATAGAATGTCAAATCTTACAGGTAAGAACTCTATCCTAAATTTGAACTGGAAGTATAAAAAAACAACATATTTTAATTCTAGTTCTGTCCACTGAAAAGCATAGTTACAATACTAATTAGGTAAAAATTAACAATACTGGAACCCAGACTGTGATCAGCAAAGATCACATTGCAAACTCTTTTTACCTTTGCACATGTTTAAAGTTTTCATAATAAAGAATG